TGGATGCCCATATGTGTATTCCTGGCTTATGCATAAATTTGTGCCAGAAACTTCACAGGCAATGTCAGTGTGCTTGCTGTGAGCAAAACTACGTAACTCAATCCATTTGTATTTATTTGTATATATGCACATTCACATGTTTGTGTATGATTTGATGTGTGCTGACATTACCCATTCAATGCCACTGGGAAGACCACTGAACTGACAGGAAATCTGGGGTTTTAGACTCTCATTTGCTGTGTGCCTCTGAGTGGGGCACTTTCCATCTCTCAACCTATGTTGGGTTTTTTCTCTTCCCACCTGTAAAATAAACTATTTTTATTCAAGAATCCCTGAGGGCCTCTCCAACACTGGGACTGCATAAAAAGTGTCACCTGAAGCATTTGGGGAGGGATAGAGGCTGGCAAAGACTCCTACTCTTGTCACCCAAGAGTAGTCCTCTCATCTGAGTTCAAAGTGGGAGAGAAAAAGTGAGGTCTGGCGTGACTGAGGAGAGGCAGAACACTATTCTTCCGTGCTCCCCATTGGGGATGAACACTACCTCCAATTTTAAACCATTGTGGCATCCACATTAAAGAGGACCCAGGCTGTGAGGCAAAGCTAGGAAAGAAGTGCTAGATGACCTTCCTGCACCTCTCTGGCCTCTTCCCAACAATGTGCTAATGGAGGTGCTGGTGCTGGTCCAGAGTGGCTATGAATGGCTTTTTTCAAACAAGCAAAAGAAAAGATACCCTCACCATTGGAGGAATTGATGGCCACCCAGAGAAGCCAAAGCATGCACACTTTCATGTACAGAGAGGAGTCTGGGAAGGCTGCTCCAGCACTGACTTTGGCCTTGGTCAAAGACTGAGGAGTCAGTCAAAGCACCCCCTTGCCCCTTCAGCTTGGACTTTTCTACTGAATGAAGATGGTGGTGAGGGGGCTAGGGCACAGTGGCCTCCCTGGTGATGTTATCTCTGGAAGCTCTGCCACAGATGGCAAGGCTTTGGGGAACAGGGGAGGCCAGCCAGAGGCCCACTCCTCTGTGCTCTGGGGAGCCCAGGCTAGGGAGTCTGAGTGGAAAACTGGACACACATACACACACTTACAAACACCAAACAATCACTGTTGCCCATACATGCAACACCCTCCATACCTCCTAAACCTATAATACACATACTCAATATCACCCCTATACAATTGCCTACATGACCCACAAACATATACACATGCACAGACATACAACCCAACCCAAACACTTGAATACCAAAATATCCCCCTTCAGCTTCTTTACTCTTGCCTTCCTCCACTCCATGCCTAGCTTCCTCTCCATGACCTTGCTGAAGGAAATAGAAACCTTTGCTCTCAAAAAAGGGCCAGGGATCAATACTGTTTAGATTTGGCTAGCGTGTATTTCCTCCTGGGTTGAGGAAGATTTAAGTTTATGGTTCAATCCAATCTTTAAAAAAAAAAAGAAAAAAGAAAAGGCAGAAAATGAGGAAGTTGGATGGTGCTCTCCAGTATTTATTTCAGTTCAGCCCCAGACTTTAATACACAGGCTGCTCACTAAGCCAGTCCCATAAATCAGAGAAATCAATGCCTGTTTACAATTATTATTACTTTCTTTTTTTAGAAGGGGTGCAAGAAAGAGGCCTAACTGGAGTCCTCCTTCCCTCTCCTCTTCCCCAATCAGAAAGAAGGAAAAGGAGGGAAGGGGAGGGAGAAAAGATGGGAAAGTCATTCTGCAGGCTGACTTCAGAGTCTCTGCTGGATTCCTGAAGCAAAGGCAGTTCTAAAGAGTAATGCAGATATCGCGAGATGGACACACACACACACACACACACACAGAGAGAGAGCCATGAAGGAGGCGTGGACAGAATGCGGGTTCTCATAGCCTCAGTTGTCTTCACTGAGAAATGGGGAGAATTCTATTTACCCTTAGTAATTGGAAGATAAAAGGAGATAATGAGCCAAAAATCAAATTACCCAGTAATTTGTGTGCCTCACTCAAAAAACAAAAACAAAAAAAAAACCCTCACACCTATACACTTCAAAATGTAATCACCAGGAGGTGGAATCATCTCCGCTCTCTCTCCCATAATTAAGAAGAGCTCTTAGCTTGGATTTTTTGGTGAGGGTGAAACAGAATGTTTCTTACAGTTGCAGCAAAGATCTTGCCGCTGCTGCTCACGTTGGCCCCTGCCTCAGTCTCTGGACCTGGTGGGTATGTAGTAGTCGTCTGAGAAACCTGCAAGGCCGCAATGTGGAAATGTGGGTAGCCCACTTCCCAGACACTCAAATGGGATGCTTCTCTGTAGGTAGAGCTGATCCATCTGGATATGCTCAGAAAGTGAAAAGGGACTGGCAGTAAGCTGTCTAAATTAGGGTCCCCAGTCCTCAGACCTCCTAACCTGAAGGCTTTGAGAGCTTGACGAATGCAGACAGCACTCCCCAAGAGAAGCAATGTATAAGCTCCCAACCACCAGAAATGAACTCACCTGAGCTACATCCAGGACTAGGCCTATCTCCCTGCTTTCAGTTCTGCCAACCCAGGATAGGGTGAGCACTTATTATGTGCAAGGATGACTCCACACACCCAAGAAAAGAATAGAAAGTGGATAGAGGAGATTTACTGCAATGAAATTGGGAACCCATGGCAATATGAAATGTTCCCTCCAACTTCACTCTGGGCCACCAAACCCCAAGCCCCTGAACCCTTGAGCAGTGACTTGGAGGGCTCCTTTGCTTCCTGGACTCAGGGCCACCATCAATCCTCACCTCTAGAAGTGACCAGGACATCAATGAGAGTTTTTCAAGAAAAAAGGCAGAATGACTAGTCATTTTCACTTTTCTGAAAAATCAATCCTGCAGCACCAACAGGAAAGAAATTCAAGGGAAGCCCACAAACAATAGCGTTCCTACGTATGCATAAGCCCCACAAACATGCCCACAAACATTCAGGCGTGCAAACACAAGCACATGTGCACACACTCTGAATTCATAAACACCAGCATCCAAATGTGCATCTGATTATAAAAAAATGTACCCTATCACACAACACTCACCCTGCAAAAATACACAAAAACAGGTACTCAGATGCACTGATATTTGCACATAACTGCATACGTACACAAGCATATGAGAACACACACATACAAGTACACATATACACGTGTTCAATGTAAAGGAGAGCAAAAGGAGTGGGGGTTGAATTTACAATGGGGGGGGGAGAATCTAGACAAAAGGAAGCTAGTATCTCCTGAGGAGGGAGCCTTCCTTTTACCTCCTACCCACCAAATATGCAAAGACTCAGAATCAGCCTAGGCCCTAGGATCAGAGGCTAGAGGCGGACAATACACTCTGGGAAGTGCAGGAATCAAGAGTGTCCTGGGGGCTTGTTTCTGAGATCACTCCACTGTCTGCAAGCAGGCCAGGCTTTGTTGGCATTCCCAAGGGGTGGGCCTCTCTTAGGTTTTGGATCTGGAAAAGGCAGGTTTGCGCCCACCTTGGGGTAGAAGCCCACAGCGAGCCCTGCAGCAGGACTAAGTGGATGCTGCTCAACCTAGCTTCCCAGCATCCTAGCCTCCTCTCACCATCCCTGCCTAGCCATTGGATCCGAGCCCTGCAAGGCTCCAAGAGTTGCCCCAACACACCGCTTCACCAACAGAATTAAGGCAGCTGAGCGCCTAGCCCGAGGGGTCCCTCGCTCTAGCAGGCAGCTCAAGGCGGGAGGGAGCTCCCCATTTCCTTTCCGCCTCACCCTTGGAGAGCCTTGTGCTTCTGAAGGACAAAACTGCGAGAAAAACTCTTACCAGGGAAAAAGGAAAAATAAATGGTGCAGGGTGCAACGAGGAGCAGGTTGAACCGGAGGAGGCCGCGCAGCTGGCTGGGCCTGGCCCAGTGCAAGTAGCAGACCCAGCCTTGTTTCCAAAGCCAGGACTGGGGTTTCCGGCCTTTGGGTTCCCTGAAAGTCAACGGTAGACCAGGAGTGTCCTGTCAATCCCTCTAGACCCCTACCAAACCCGCAAAGGGGCTTGTTCTGTCCCCGCGCCCCCCCTGCCACGCGATCGCTGTGCGAGGGCTGTAAGGCCTGGCTCCGAGTCTCAGTCTGCAGGCTCCCAAGCCCGCTGCTTCTGCGGGTGTGTGCACGGGTGCGCAACTTGTGCGCAGGGGTGCCGGCGAACAGGAGCCGGTGGGTGCTCCAGGCCAGGCCCCTCCCAAGCCCGCAAAGAGGAGGGCCGCCAAAGCTACTGAGCACAGTGTACACTTTATTTCAGACTACAGGTTTCTGAACATAATAAAATCTTTGGCTTGTAGCGGCGGTTCAGTCTCGCAGTCTGTGGGGTCGTATTTCTCAATAAGTCTCCGGAAAAGGAAAGGGGAGCAGGACAGACAGACCGACAAAAAGGCTAAGGAGAAGGCGAAAGAAGCGAAGGGCACACACACGAGGAAACACACTCTCACGCACACAAAGAAAAAAGTCCCAGAGAAACAAGGGGCAGCGAGGCGGGCGGGAGGCACCGTAGAAGCGAGGACATTCAAAAGAAAAAGGCAACGAAAAGGAAACTGGGGCAACGAGGAGGAGGTGGGGGATAAAATAATTATAATAATTATAATAATTATAACAATAATAATAAAGAAGATTAATAAAAATGTCCAGCAAATAGAGATCGCTACACATATTTCTTTTCCTTACCTGAAATTAAATATATACAAGGTTGTAAGCGGTTTGGCTAAATAGAGCTTTAATGAGTTCGCAGTTGCGTCCCTTATATTATGAATAGAGAACAGATCTGATTTTTCGATAGCACCTGTCCGTCTTTCTCCTTATTCAGAAATGTTTACTTTCAACGTAACTCTTCATTCTGAGCATCGCTTTCTCTCTCCTTTTTCCTGCTGCCCTCTCCCTCCTTTCGTTCGTTGATTCTGGCTTCCCGGGAGCTGGGCCGGTGAAGTGGCGGAGCCAGGAGGGGGCGCGGGCGCGGCGACCGTTCTGAGCGCGCCGCCCGGGCCGCCGGCGGCTACTCGCTCTCGTCTTTGTCCTGGACGGTGGTGGTGGAGTGGTTGTATAGTCCCTGCGCCATGAGGTGCAGCGCCAGGCCGTTCTTGATGCCCGTGGCTTTCTTGATCTTGGCGCGCTTGTTCTGGAACCAGATCTTGATCTGAGACTCGTTGAGGCTGAGCTCCTGGGCCAGGGTCTGCCGCCGCTGTTCCGTAATGTAGCGATTCGCCTGAAACTCCGCCTTGAGTCTCTGCAGCTGCTCGGCCGTGAACGCCGTCCGTGGCCGTTTGTCCTCCTTCTCGTTCTTCTTCTTCTTCAGCTTCCTGGTGCGCGGACCTGCAGCGGCGAAAAGGACCGGGTGGGGGTGGGGACGAGGGCAGAAGGGAGGGGGAAAGGGCAGAGGATGCCATCAGAATTGCCGAGCAGAGTTGGGATCGCGTCCTGCGCTGCCTGGGCGCTCCTCGAGGCCCTGCTGTGCCCCAGGTTCCCCCAATCGCCAGCTAACCCCACTGATCAAAGTGCCCCCGGCTGGCCGTGGCGGTCGTCGAGTTCCTTTATGGGGGGCTAGAAAAGCCGCGAAAAACTGGTGGAGCTTGTAGGTATACCCCACATTCCAATTAATTATAAGAGAGCCAGGGACAGGACTCCCGGGCCAAGAAGACAGGAGTCCAAGATGGAGAGATAACTGGAGCCCCATCCAGCCCAGCCCAGAGATGAGGGTGAGAGACCTGCTCCCCTGTTGTTGTTGTTATTTGCCATCGAGTCAGCCCTGACTCCTAGGGACCCCTCCTTGGGTTTCCGAGGCAGTTATCATTACGGAAGTAGGATTACCCAACCTTGATTCCGAGGAGTGGCTGGTGGGTTGCTCCCCTAGCAGGCCTGAAATGAAAATAGGCTCAGGCCAGGTATCTGAGGGCAGGCCCTGGGGACTCACCAGTGAGGTGCAGCCCTTTATCTCCCTGCAAACTAATCCTCCTCCCTCAAGAAGCCTTCTCACACAATTACAGTCAAGCCCCATCAATTTGAAGGCACCGACCCCAAAAAAATAAGGGAAGAGGGAGAAGATTGCAAGAGAGTTACCCAGCTCCAGTTCAGTACCCTCTCTTTCTACCTCCTTTTATTCCTTCTCCTTGGCCTGAGCCAAGCCATTGCTAGGGCCCCATGGAGACACCTACCACCTCTTTTCTGAAGAAGACGTGTGCCTCACCTTCATGACTCTGCCCCCCCCACACACACACACATACACTCTTTGCCTCTTAGATGGTACTAGTAAGAAAGAGAGAGCCCTCCCCACTCTTCCACACAGCTACACAGGCAGCATCTTCCTTATATCTACTTTGAAAAATTGCACTGCAATTTTAGATAAAAACACATAAACAACAAAAACAAGGCAGAGTGGCTCTGCCTGCTGACCAATAGCATTTGCAAGGCTACTACTCTCCCCCCTCTATCACTAAGCACAACAAGGCAGAGGGACTGAGACAGAGAGGCAATCTCAACAAACATCTGTGCTTTACTTCCAACATGGATATGGGAAGAGGCCACAGAAAACCTCCCTAGGAAAGTGAAGTCTCCATCAAATACTCGCCTGGTAGGAGGGCTGCTATGGGAGCCATACCCATATGGGGGGGGGGGAACAACTGGAGAGGGTATGACTTTTGATCTGTGACTGTGAAGGTTGCATCTCTGTCCATCCCCTTCTCACCCAAGTCTTCTGGCATTTACTTCTTGGGCCCTGCCATGGTTATAGGAGCTTACTGAGTCAAGCTGAGCCTCTATCAGTCATGTTAAACCCTAAAATTGTCAGGGAAGAAGGGTCTCCACTGACATCACAAAACCTGGCATCAGAAGGGCAACCTGGGCAGCTTTTGACTTCCTGGGTAGCCCAAGGGCTGAGGTCACCAGTTGTGACAAAGAATCCAGTTCCAGCTGACAGGAGAGGCTAGGGCCTGGGTTGAAGCTCATCCTCTGAACTTACCACACAGGGAGAAAAATCTATCCCGTCAGTCCCCTGCATCCCTAGGTCATAGGAAGGTAAGCAGCCAAGAACAAAGAGGAGGATCACTCCTGTGTGGGGTGCAGAGAGGACTAGGCAGTAGAGTGGTGGTGAGGAGGCCTTGGTTTGGATTAGTAATTAGGTGAGTAGGAGAGATGGCTCAGAAGATGTGCACATCCTCAGAAAGGCCCCGCTGCGCTTTGTGCGTCCGGGACATGCTGGAGTGTTGTTGTGTGTTTGCGTACAAGGCACGGGCACTTGTAATAAAATCGTAGTCTCCCGGTCAGCCAGAGCCTATTGGCCTGACAGCTCAATCACTCTATCCATCAGGCAAGTCAATCAAAGCAGCTTTTCGGAGGTTCAGGGAGCCGGACATGTCAATAACGGGGCTCGAGATGGCGGGGGCTGATAATGCGCATCGATCTGTGCCCGCCCGGCAACGGTAGGGAGGCAGGAGACTAGCCCGCTGACTAGCCTACCGAGAGCTGCGGGTGGCTACTCTGTGCCCGGGCTCCTGTGGGTCCTGGGCCCCTGGAGCCCGGATAGAGGACCAGAGCCTCTTCCGCTCTCCTCTCGGGCCCCCACCGGCCTCCTGTGGGCTGCCCGCTGACGCGGCGGGCAGGCCTCGCCCTCCTGTCCTGGGGCACAGCGGCTGTCCCTTGCCAAAAACCTTGGCCTCCGCTTGGTCAAGCGCTAGAAACAGACCGAAAGCCAAGCAAAATGGGACAGTGTCTGGCGGAAATCGGCTAAGGAAGGAGTGAAAGAAGAAAGGAGCAGGGCCAGGCCGAGAGGATATGGGCGCAGCGCTGAGAAGTTTGGGAGGAGGCTGGCTTTCCATGCGATCCGCCTGGGTTTCTAGTCTGATTCTGACCTGTCTTCTTTCCTTTCGGATTGTGTCAGTCTGTTAGTCCCAGAAGTCCAGGAGCCAGTGGTTCCTGGCGCTTCCGCAACCGTCTTTCCCTGGAATTCTACCCACCCGGGTCAGACTCTCACTGCTACCCGGCCCGGTGACGTGAGACGCATTTCTGTCCCTTCTGTGTGACTCCATATCTAGCGTTATCTATGTAAATGAATTATCCGCAGAAAACATCGACTTAGTGCTCGGATGCTTGTGTCTATAAAGACACACGACAAAGCTTATTTCTCTGTCAAAGCCTTGTTCGCCTTGTTCGATTGCAGTCTCCTCGGGGCCCGGCTGGCGGGATTTCAGACCTAGATCTAGGCCCTCCTTCCCGCCGGCTCCAAACACCCCTTCCCTGAAAGAAAAACCAATGGCTCTAATTGTAAAAGAAATAATAAAGATAAAACAAAAAGGAAGTCTTAGGGGTCCAGAGTTCAAAATCGAAGGCTCAAGATTTGAGCCTCCATTGCCTGGAGCCGTAACACTCTGGGTGGTGGCCACAGGGCCCAGGAGCTCCGAACTGTTGCACACTCGCTTAGGTCTAGGGCCTGGGGTAAGGAGTTGAATGCAGGCGAGGAGAGACTAGGGCGCTCAAGGCCGGGTTTGCTTTGCCCAGCGCGTCAGATGGGAGTTTTAGGGGCGTCCGCGAGACCTACAAGCATGGCGCAGCCTGGGTTTGGATACTCACCAGAGGATGGGCGATCCGAATAGCGCGTGCAGTAGACCCAGGCGGGCCACACGAGTGGCTGCTGCGAGTCAGTTTTGACCACCGGCCCGCCGTTGGCTGAGCCCATAAGTAGAATGGCGGGGTTTCCGTGCTCCGGGTACTTGGCGCTCTGCGCGCCCGGGCTTCCTGCGCCACCTCCACTACCGCCGCCGCTGTCCGAGGGTTTGGCTGCTGCTGCAGCCGCCACAGCCGCTACCGCGGCCGCCGCCGCCGCTGCCGCCGCAGACGGGTTCCCAGCTTTGGACGCGCCCGCGCCAGTGGCGACTGAGGGGGGGGAGCCGTCGGGCGGCCCACAGTTAGCGTCTGGGGCGCACAGGAGCGAGGCGGCGCCTGATGCCCGCGTGCCCAGCGGGTGGACAGGGTCTCTACCTGCGCCGGTCTGGCCTCTATCACGCTCGACCCGGCCTCCTCCTGCTACGCCTCCTCCGGCCACCGCCGCCACCAGGAGCTGCTGCGGCGGCTGTTCCTTTTTGCAGCCGAAGTCTGGCCTCAGAATGTTGTCGATGAAAAAGTTGGTGGTGCGGTGCAGCTGGGCCGCGGGCTGCGGCTGGTGAGCAGGCGCCGCGAGATGCTGCGGCGGCGGCGGCGGCGGCGGCGGGGGATGCGGGGGGAGATGAGAGTGGTGGGCCAAGGACGGCAGGCAGGGCGCCGCGGGAGGCGAGGGGGGCGCGGGCTGAGGGGACACGGGCACGCTGTCTCCATCGCTGCAGCTGCTGCCGCTAGCGCCGGGGCTGAGGCTCAGGCTAAGGCCGCCCGAAGCCGCCGCCGCAGCCGCGCCGAGGCCTGAGTCGCGCTGACTTTTAGGTTCCGGCTGCTGTTCTTCCATGCTCGGCCGCCCTGACGCCCCGGCCGCCGCGCCGGCCCCCACCCCCCCGTCTCACTCCCCACCCCACTTTGCCAGCGGCCCGTGGGGGTGCGCGGACGGAAGGAGGCAGGCGAAGCTCCAGCGAAGGCACGGGGCGGGTGCAGGAAAAAAAAGCCCAGGCGCCTGGCCTGGATCTCTCGCTCTTATCGAGCAGATAGATCTTGCTGTCTCTCCCTCGATCTAATTTGTAGACATCCAGATAAGGAGACACTGGCAATTTCTTTTTTTCTTTCTGTAACCAGATTCAATGATTTGTTTTAAATGGGGATTGAGCTACGGCCAAAAAAGAAAGAAAAGAAAAGAAAAAAATAAAGGAAAAAGCTCCAACAATTTTTTTTTTTTTTTTAAGGGAGAAAAATAGTCTTTAAAGTCTAGCCTAGTCTTGCTAGGCAGTAGTGAAGGGTTTGACTTCCCCGAGTGTCACGCTCAGCTGTGCCCAGAGTGCGAGGCTGGCAGCGCATTTAATCGCCTTTGCTTTTTTTGCAGTGAGAGCGCGTCTCCGCCAACGCCGGGGCTGCCTTTTTTTTTTTTTTTTTTCAAATCTGTGACAGCTCGGATCTTTGCACAAACTCTCTTGCTTAAAAAAAAAATCACCCAGGCACACTTTTTGCCTTCAAACCGGAAGCACGTGAGTTAGGGCCGCACGTGTGCGGGGCCAATGGAGAGCCAGGACTCGCGCTGACACCCGGGCTGCGGCCCAATGGGCGCTCGCGGGACTTTGCGGATAAATAATCCGGGGGCGGCGGCTGCGGGCGGAGAGGGGGTGCTGGGGCGCGGGCTCAGTGCGTCCGGCCGGTCCTCCCCCATCACGCCGCCGCCCCTCCCCCTCCTTCAGGCCGGGACCGTGGAGCGGCCTGACGAGACGGGGGAGGGGTGGATTTGGGGGTGTAAGCAAATAGAGAAGCAACTCCATAAACAACTTGTTGGAGAAATGCAGGTTTATGGGTGCGTGCGCGCCGGGAGTAGGGTCAGGAGGCAGGGGCCTCAGCTTTTTGCTCTCCCTAACCCCCACCTCAACGCCTAAGAAACTCAGCTTTTTATATTTTCTTTTGGTCCCGGTTGCTGGTACGAAGAGGGAAAGACTGTTGAGGGGGGGGGGAGGGGGCGGGGGGGAAGGAGTGTGTGTGTGTGTGTGTTTGTGTGTTGGGAGGGATGAGTGAGACTAGGAGGTAGGTGAAGGTGAAATGGACCTGGAATTGGTTACTTTCGAAGGCGCAATTTATTTTTCACAAACAGCAAAGCCGGGAGGCCCGTCTTGCCTTGCCAGCAGCACCTATTTGTCAGCCACTTGCCGACTGGCTTCACTGCAGGTCGTTCTCGGGGGATCTGCATCCCCGCCCTTCCTGTCCGAGCCTCGGACGACACCTAGGAGCTGCCCCGGCGCCATTGAACCAAGCCCAGAGGGCTCTGGAGTGCCTGAGCGCCGGGAGCGCCGAGTGCCTTTTCCTTCTCTAGCCACTGGAGTCGGTGCCGCCCCGGCATCGTGGAGCTGCCCCGAGAGGGCACCTGGGCCCGGGGAGTCACGGCTAGGATGTGAACAAGCCCCGGGCTTTTGGGTTTCGTGCTTGGGTTTTCCTGCAAAGTAAAGCCCGAACAAATAAAAGGTGTTTGCCCTGGAGATTTCAATAGCGAGTTTTCCCCAGTTACGGGGTAATTGGTTTTCCTGAAAATGCAGGCGACTTCCAGGGAGCCTCAGCCCTAGCCCTGCGCATTCTTCCGGAGCTTTGAACGGACAGTGTAGCGTCCAGCCACTCCCGCGCTCGCTGACATAAGTTCCTTGCCCATTGGGCTTTTTCTCTTGTTTTCTGGTCGAGGCACACCAAAAGTTCTCCTAAGGCCAGAGATGCGGGGGTGGGGAGCAGTGGTAGGGGAGGCTCTAAGGACCCGAGAGGATCCTTTGCCAAGAGGTTTTGCAGGGCCAACGTTCGACTGAGCTGGAGCCTGCAGTGCGGAGAGAGAAATGAAAGGCTCCCGCAACCCAGTCTTTCGCGGATATGTCATCTTTGCAACTCCATCGGACCTGCCCGCCCTGACAGCCTTCCCCAATGGGACAGCTGAAGTAGACTCTCTTTGGGGATGTTGTCTAGTTGGGACATGCAAAATACCCCCCTCCAGTTTTCTGGAAAAGTCACAGGATTAGGAGAAAAATAAAACGCACAACCAGAACAATGCAGACCAACAGTGGTCGCAGTTTTTAAGAGCTGGTGGTGGGCAGGAATAAGTATTGCTGGCGTGTCTTCAGGGAGCCCTGGTGGTGCAGGGGTTAAACTCTGGACTGTTAACCCAAAGGTGGGCGGTTTGAACCCACCAGCCCCTCTGCGGAAGATGAGACTGTCCGCTTCCTTAAAGATTTACAGCCTTGGAAACCCTATGGGGCAATTCTACTCTCCTATAGATTCACTAAGTATCCACTTGACTGTTGGGGTGTCTAGGGTCTGCGTTTCTGGCAGACCTGAGTTTTGGCCTGAAGGCCCGTGGTTAGTTCCTCAACCCCTTTCCAGCTGCCTCGGATGCCATCTTGGACTCTTTGGGGCCCTCTTCAGTCCCACACCCAAGAGTGCCCCGAAATCTCCCTGCGCCCCCACCCGTAATCCCCGAAGTGGGGGTGAGATTTTATTTTTATTTAAGTTCGCAAAATTGAAATCTTTATCCCACAAGCGAGAGTGGGTACTTAATTAAATTCTAATTAGGACACTATCAATATCCTATTTAGCCGCGTAGCTTTTGTGAGCCGCGGTCCCTTTCAGCACCGTAAATAGGGTCTCGACGCCTTATCTCGCCTGCAGGAGACGCCTCGAGAAGGGCTGCGGAAGATAATTTATAGGTTTTAATTACTCTTCATTCCGCCTGATCAGCTTGGCGTTCATCACAGGCCTGTGAATAAAACCCTGGTCAAAAGCTCTGTCACATCGTGCTGGCAAGACGCTTAATCAAAGTGAGCGGCTCCGCGCAGTGCGCGGCCCGGCTCCTCCACGTAATTTCCAGCCAGCTGATAAAGCCAGCTGAATAATGCCGCGGCCCTTTGGAGACACCATTTACAGAAATGACTTTATTGACGGCTTAACGTCGGTAATTCATTTTACCTTTCATGTAGTGGAGCCCGGATTTGTTACAGTAATGGGATGATAAATGCACCGGCGGCCCACGAGCTCGGGCTGGATTAGGCGGCGCTTTGCGCGTAGGCTCGCCCCCCACCCCCAGGCCGGGCCTGTGCCGGACGCCACGCTGCGCACCCTGAGCCACACCGCGCACCCTGGGCCTCCCGCGCTCCACGACCCCTACCCAGGCCGGCGCCCTCCTCTCCCTACTGAAAATGAACATACTATTGAGAACTCGGTGTGATCGGGTTGCTGTCCTGGCAAGCCCAGGAGTGAGGTGTGTGAGGGCTGAGTGACAGATATTGGCGTAGACGGGTGCGTGAAGAGTCCAGAGCACTCCAAGTGATCAGGGCCGGGCGTGGCAAGCATACGGGTAAAGAAGTTGGGTGTGTGGAGGGATGTGTTCGCACGTGTGGGTGGATTTGTACAACCGTACTTTCTGGGGACTTGTTTCTACCTTTGGGAATGAATTTTCTCCAACTTGATAGATGTCCAGGCCAGGGTGACTGGGTGCAGAAACAGGTGTGTGGGGGAGAATTGGAGAAAATGTCAGAGGGAAATGGAGCCCCTTTCTCCAAATGCCCTCTGCTCCTGGACCAAAGGCATAGACCCTTAGAGTCGCCCAGTGCTTATTCCCACTGCCTTGCAGTTCTAAGCTGGGCAGTTACCTGGCCAGAGGGCCAGAGAGGGCCAGCGACTGGGCGCATGTCTCAGAAATATGTAGATTACCCCCAAGTTCAACTTCCATATGCAGCTCAGACAAAAGGGGAAATTGACAAGGAGGAAAAAGATTTTTTTTGTTGTTGTTTTAAATGCTTAAGAGGGAAAATAAACTCAATGATCTCTCTCTTCATATAAAGGCTGAAGGGGGACGGTTCGAAGGAGAGTTTCAATGGTGGGGATTAGGGTAGAGGTTAGATTAGTGACCCCCAACCCACCTGTCCTCTCTCCCATTCTAGATTTCTTCGAGTTTCTGTGGCTAACCACAGGTTTCCCCCAGCAAAAGGCACCTGGCCAGACAGGAGGGAATAATGCCTATGTGTATTTGGGGAGGGTTTCTAGAGAAGTTTGGAATATAGTAGGTACATCGATGATGAGTGTTTCTGGGACAGTCCCAAAGAGAAATCCAAGAAATTCTACCTTCGTTTCTCCTCTTTCCCAGTTTTACAAAAGTCACCATGTGATCTTGGAGAGCGCTGGGTGGCTCTGGGTCCATGAGCTAGTATATGTGCCTATTTGCTCGTGTGTGTGAGAGCCTCACAGAGAAGAAACTAGTATGTAAAAGTGCATGTCTGTGAATCTGCATGTGTTTGTGTGCCTGGCTGGAGACCCTAGTGTGTGCACATTAGTGTGTATGCTGGAGTTTGCCCTTCCAGTTGGGCATGCAAAATAATATTTGAGTGAGAGTTTTGGTGTGTGTTGTTTATGAGAGAGAATTATTTAGGCAGTCTAGACTGCATTTCAGCAGAGCTTTAGATTTCATTTAGGCAAAGATAAAAGTTGGGGTCCGGCGTGCTTCCACTTCTGTTCCCAGGATGGAAGCAAGGAGGAGAATTGCAAAAGAAAGCCTCGCAGCCTGAGGCCGGTGTACCCCATGGGCCAGGAGTGCAAGTATGTTGCATGTACACGGTGGTAATCGCATTTCGAGTGTAGATCAGATGGCGGTGGGGCCTCGTGGAGCGGGACATGAATGAATTGTCGCAACACAATAGCGTGCAGCCTTCCTAGGGGGACTGGGTGACCAGCGGTTTTGTTGGGAGTGAATGCGAGGAAATTTCTACTACAAGTGCCACGGTATTATTATGAGCCGGAAGGTCAGACTATACATTGCAGGTCCCTAAAGCCTATAGACCTTGGGAAATG